AATATTGAGACACGAATTCAAATTTATAGAACGAGCAGCGAAGCCGCGAGTTATATAAAGGATGAGTGGCACAATGGCCTTATGAACGAGTAATTTATACTATTTTTTCTACCGCGCACGTTTTTCGCATAATTTAATTGAAATTTGCCTTTTTTAAATCTGGGGAATTTTGTCGTGGTTGGTGATAGGTTGGTCTGACACTATTCACGAAATATTTAAGGTTCTAATTTTCGCAACAACACCTGTCATTCGAATCAATTCGAGTTTTTGTAAGTTAAAATTGGTTAAAATGTCTTGTGAAGATGTTAGTGAAGTCCTTACGCCTCCGGAAATTCGGGAAATTTTAATTTGACATTTGCCACTGACATTCGCCTGACATTTCTCGTCATGGCTACCAATCTTACCGATCTAAATTACACCAGATCTATTAAAGAACGCCTTTCCGCTATTAACGAACTGCCGTGACGTCATTTCCGTGCTTTAATAGCTCTATTAGAAAACTAAAAAACGTGCGCGGTAGAAAAATGAGTATTTAAATACACAATTATTTTGGAATGGACTTTCAGTATATTATAATATAATATACGGGGTGATTCATTAAGTGCGTGTTCCTTGATATTTCCTTAATTATTAGAAATAAAAAAAGTCAAAGACCAAGTTGTACGGTTCTATGAGGACTATTCTCTAAAATTACTCTTAACTATACAAATACATATTTTGTTTTTAAGGTGTAATACAAAACATTTTTTTAATCAAGCACTCTATATATGTTCACATATTTTAACTGACCTCTCTAATTTTTACTTCATTTTGTTGGATTTTAACTTTTTAAAAACACGACCAAAAGAAGGTCACAAAAAACGGAAAAAGTGACTAAAAATAATATCCAACAGTAAACTTAAACAAAACATTTTGATTAGCGATTTGCCATGTTTACGATACGATAACTTTACGCCTGCAAGATTTCAGAGCGTTGGATTTTGTAATTTCAGAGTTAAATTGTTAAATGTAAAATTGTAAAATCAAGAAGATTCATCAACCACAAGTACAGGAGTATATAACATTTAAGTAGCATTTACTATGGAAAATTTTGAGGTGACGTAATCAAATTGTTGACTAGGATGATTAGACAAATTGTGGTTACCATTTAACCATCTATAATCTAAGACAGATGGCAGACGATAGTCGATGGACAAATGAACAAGAGAGACCTACTATTTCATAATCTAGGGACATGAAGGGTCGAGAAAACATGAAAGTAGCCATGCACTGGGTGGCCCCTATTACAATCCTTCGTCATTTTTTAAGCTTGCGAAGTAAAAATCGCCACAAAAGAAGAGAGGTGGGTGGGTGGGGCTAATTTTTATTTTATTTTAGTGGATTCTAATATGATGGCCATTAGTAATCCACTCCTTATTTTTAAACTAGAAAAATTATTTATTAAAAAGGAGGGGGTGTAAAATTTAAATAACATTTACTAAGGAGAATTTTGAGGTGACATCTTCAAATTGTTGGTGGGCACCCCATGATATTAATTAATTTTAGAATTAATTTATAAATTTAATCATAAAAATTGTCTCAAAAATACAGTGGGTAGAAGATAGAGTGTTCTATGCAGATGTTTGTCGTATTGACTTCTCTTTCTTTTCGGTTTAGTGAAAGTTGCCACAATATTCCAATTTTATTGAAGTTTTCACAAAAAATCACAGTATGGTTATTTTTAAAATTTGTATTACAACATTTAGTGGAGAGATGAAAAAGAAAGATATGCGCTTTGTTGCGGTATAAATGAAATTAAATTCATATAGTAATAAAATACAGGGTCTTCCATTTGAGAAAACTGAAATATCGATATTTGAAAACTGTAAAGTTTTATTTTTTTATTAACACTCTGTATATTAAAATTTGATTTAGTTCATACCACAACGAAGCACGTACCTTTATTTGTTCTTCCACAAAATATTGTAAGACATATCTCTATTGCGATTTTTTTTGTAAACCCTTCCTCTGCTAAAATTTCAAACGAAAACTGTGGTTGTAAAGCCTAAGAACCGGCCAATCAAAATATGTAAAAATATATAGGGTGTTTCATTAAAAAAAAAACTAATTTGTGTGTTGCGCCTTTAAACATAACATTCCTGTATATTTAAAGTTCTCAAAAAACCGTAAAATTTCATTTTTTTGACTTTTTTTCGGTATCTAATAATTAAATAATAAGATGTCGAGGACTACGCGCTTAGTGACTTTTGTACAGAGTATATTATAAATAAACAAATAAATTTAAAATTTATTTATACATCAGTTTTGAGTACATCAGTTATCACTTATTAAGTTCACAGGTCAAGTTCGCGAAAAATGAAAAAAAGTAAAAAATTAATCACTGTTGTCAGATTCATTCTAAACAAATTTTAGAACTTTTTTTAATAAAACAAAGAAAACGGTGGATAAAGTTACAATACTTCCAAAAATTATTTTTAATAATGAAAATCCAATGAATTTTATACACCCATTACTAAATCGTGAATTAAAATATGGTGAAGCATAATATTAAATTATTTTTTCTTTGCTCAACGAACAGTCCTTAACAAAGTGCCCCAGAGTTATTGCGCAATATTTTGATCACCTTTACATTAATTTGTGTTGGATTTTTTTATATTAAGTTAATTACTTACTTAGTAGTTAAAAAGAAACATTTATCAAAATCAATAGAAGTAATTATTTTTGGCACCTCCAAAACTTTTTTAAACTGTTGATTTCTTGTCGACACTGTATAATTTTTGGTAGTTTATCTTCAATACTTTTGAAACGTAACTGTGATTTCTATTTAAATGATAATAATTTTTACAAAACAGGAAGCAAACATACTCAAATTTTTTAAAAAGTTAGGTTATGCCTGACATTTATTACATCCTACGTGACACCGCGTGATCAGAAATAACTCAGTCTGTTGGCAATCCTAGGATTTTAGTTGAAATTTAGATATTTTCTATAATTTCCAGGTATCAGTAGTCAAGACTGACATAATATCTGTTACAGAATCATTTCCCTTATAGCAACATACACGCAAGAAAAGTTCATATTTTGATTTAAAAAGTAGTGCCAACCGGCTCAGTCATTTCTGATAACGCGGTATTTGCATCACCAATATTTTTTGAAATACAGATTTTATCTAACCAAAGAATATTAACATACAACATATCACACAAACGTGTGGTAAAAATAGGGGTAACAAGTGTGGGTTCCTTGAAAAGATTCACAAATACCATAAAAAGCATATGACATCATAATTCGAAAGGTGATCACATCAAAATTAATTACAGCAACCTAAAAATAGCGTAATTACTCAAATTAGAAATACAAACTGGTGTATTTCAGCGTTTTCGATTAATACAATTAGTTTTGAATTTATTGAATTTATTCCGTAACTAGTTTCCACAGGGTATGTATTAGTTGTAGGTTCAATTTAATAATTTTAGTGAACTGGTTAAATGTAATTTGTTTATTAATGCTTTACTGAATGAAGCGAGCCGCTAATTTTATAGATTTTTCTGCTTTATAGCAAATAAATATTTCAATGTTCCGTAAAAACAAATTGTGATGATAAAATTAAACGAAAACAATGAAGTTTTACCGTAATTTCTTAGAAGTAAAAAAATTAAATTTCTCTTCGTTACTTTTTAATGAGGCTAAAACAAAGGTGCTAAAAATACAAAATTATAAATATTTGCAGTTATCTGTCGCAACAATTCTAGCTCATTCTGTTATAATATGGCTGCAGGATTTTGGAATTATTTACAAACGTATATTAAAGAATTAAATGCTAAATATAATTGTCAATTACATTTGAATTAAATTTTTAAGCATACGTAACTTGCATGATTTTTAATCCCCACAGTCGTAGAAAAAAAATTGTAGGCAAGATGAGCTAAAAATGTATTAGACATCGAACTGGTTTGTTGAACATACATAAATAACCTTTTAACGTTTAACCAACTCCATATTTTCAGCACGCCACACATATTTTTTATTTATAGAAAAAGTAAAAAAAAAAAGAATGAAACGAGGTTTACTCTTCCTGGAACCCAATAAAAATTCGTTACAAAAAACCTGTGATATCTGGCACATGAATAACATTTATGTTTCCGCAATCCATACTGAGCGCTGTTGAGTTGAAATATAAAATTTGCGACAAAAAAATCTGCTGAAAATTTGTAACAACTGATAATAAATAATATCAGTTCATGTGTCGCTTTCTATTTTCAGTATTTTACTTGCAACTATTTTTTAACTATACATGATTTTAAATTTTGCAATTATGTAATTAAAAAACGAATGTGTCAACATCCACCTAAATAAAATATCAATATTTTTATTTATTAAAAAGGTTATCTTAATGCAAACGCACTGCGCCCTCACATTGTGTATTTTAGTATAATAAGTGTGCATTTTTCAAAACTAATATATCAAAAACTTGACAGGCCACTAAAACACCAACTATGTTCTACTGCCAGCGCAATTAAAAAGTCCGCGCTTTAATTTGAAAAAAACTGTATAAATAGGACTCATTTAACCATGATAAGCCTAACACAATTTACACACTGTACAGAACAAGGTTCCAAACCCACAACCTGAAGCTTAAATCCAAATTAAAAGCGCTTCGTCCGAAATCCGCGTATGTCAATTGCGAAAAACCAATTTGATAAAGTTCAAATTCGCAGGCCTGTTATTAACAGTGCGGTGGGAAATTACTCCGGACGCAAAAGTACAAAGCCATTTAACTTTTTATTAACTGTACGACCGTCCAACTTCGCCTGTCTCATTCACAGCTCTGCCATAAAACCTGTAGCTTCGTCATGAAACGGAAAAAAAAATCGCGAATTTATTTGCGCTATTCGCAAATATCATCGAAGATCGCAATAGCAGAGAGCAGGCCGCAAATCCCCGAAATCCCAGCGAGGAATCTGCACGAACATCGAAACAACAACAAAACGGTCCCTTACCTTTACACCATGCCGTAAAGGATAAACAGCGTCGTGAGCGAAGAGGATCAACAGTTCACATTATCGCGGCCGACCGGGGCGAAGTCGCGAATAGAATGGGCCGAAGTGGGCTCCAGGTGCGACGCGCGCGCGCACTGCCCCCTATATCATTGATTGGCAGTTGGAGGGCCCCCCAGAGCCCCCAAGACAACATTGTTTACGCACAATCCTCCACGCCGTTGTGGAGAGCATTTCCGAAGGGCTCTACAAATTCGTCATGAAGTCTTTTGGCTGGTGGTCCAGCGTCTGGTTTGCATGAGATGATCTCGTACGGAGAGGCAGTGGCGGCTCGTGGGGTTAGAGTCTGACATGCGGCAGGCAGTAAATCCAAAGTTTGTTAAAGCGACCAGAAAACTAAGACTCAACAAAACAACGTTAACCTGCATTTAGGGTCAAGTCAAAAATTGTGTGACAATAAATTTCAGGAGGATGATGACAGGTGTCTAAAGATTCTTATGAAAGTCTCCCCGAATGTGAATAGTAAAGACTCTAGACAGTGGGGTGAAATCACAGTAAGTCGGGTCTAGGCCTATCCAAATAAAATTAACGTCTATTGGGGGAAGATAATGTATACCTGGAACGAGATCTTCGCCGAGACAACGTAATCAATGTTTCATTATTCGCAAAGAATACCGCAACCAACTTGCTACCAGAGAATAAAAAAATGTTTTCAAATATCCCAAGGGTCATTAAGTGTAGAAAATTATACGATCACTCTTCCAAATCTTCAAAATTAAATTAGACGAATTGTATTAAAACATTTTATCGTCTATGTACTGAGATTTGGTCACAGGATGATGTCAATTTTTCTGAACATTTTTATAAAAATATGGTGTATTTTGTTGCAATTGATGTTTTAGATTCTAGTTGCTGTCAACCCTCTCTAAAAATTTAAATTTATCCACCTTATCAAAGAAGAGAAATAGAAAACTTTCACAGCCGGAGTTAATAACAGAATTTGAATAGGTTTTCAACTTTTCGTCCATTTTCGAACGAATCGTTCATCAGCCTTCAATAGAGTGCTAAAATTTAATATTTTGAACAGGTTCCTAGTTTTAGTTTCATACATAGTTACTACTTCTACAATTTTAGAAAAGCTGATTTACTCAGTCTATGCTGTTGTCGTGGCCATAAGTCTTGGAATAAACTTATAGTACAAATAACATTAATGATGCATGCAAATTTTTCTCTTAGGAACTTACACGAGTAAATAATTGCATAATTTGTTCCGTTATCGCGCTTTAAAACATTTTCATTTCCCAAATGGTATTCCACTGAGCTGATTAAAAATATTTTCAAGAAAAAACATTGTAGGAAAATTAACTTCAACGATACTCAGACATGGCAAACAAATTACGAAGAAAGATTAAATTCATACATAACAAATACATATTCAAAAATAATAAAATTTGACTTTACTAAATTTTCTTTATTTTATGATAAATTGATAACTCCTATAAATTAAAATAAAGATATGTGTGGGCTATTAACGTACAGTTAAAGAAGCAAGCTGTGCATAAGTTTCAAGTGAGTGATGACGTCATTAACATTTTACCAAGGAGATACATATCAATTTGAATAGATGCAGTGTAAAATTAATGTATAGGTAATCCTAAAAAATATGACTGCATATTTAAACATACCACAAGTATAAAGTCGTAATATTTTACAAATTTTAGAATTTATTTCGCAAAATTTTAAGGTGACAAAATTTTTTGGGAGGGTTAAACGAATTGATTAAGTTATACTGCAAAATAATATTGGTACAATTTTGATTTTTTTCTAAAAATTTGAATGTATAGAGTAAAAACTCAACACGAATTTATAAACAATAAACATTCTACCAAATTTGGCTGTATGGTTCTAGTGTACTGGATTTGTTTAACGTATCTAAGTATTATAATCGAGTCCAACGGGCGCCTGGCTACATTCATATTTTTTCGATGTATTATGACTCCTAGAATACGAAAAAATACGACGCCTGTTTCTGTCTGTCTGTCTGTCTGTCCGCCGTCCGTGTAGATTCTTGTAAAGCAGATAGTCTCCGAAACTACTGGCTGTTGTCAAATTTTATATATGTACTATGAATATCATCTAAATGATAAAACGTTCATCAAACTTTTCTATTCATCCTCGCCAACAATATGATGTTACCACAAAATTGTACATAGTAAATGTGTTTTAAATTTTATAAAATAATGTAGTCCTACACTGAGTATTTAAGTATCGATACTTCAGTTTTTTCGAATAGTACACCCCATATTTTGCTACTGCATCTTATCCTAAATCTCTTTCTTTTTTGCTGAGCATTTTCTATATTTAAAATTGAAAGTCACTTTTTGGTTTTTTAAGAGACGCTGTTAACAGGCTGCTCGATTTGAAAAAACTGAAATATCGATATTTGAAAACTGTAAAATTTTAGATTTTTTTTCTTTGTATATTAAAATTTGGTTTAGTTGATACCACAACAGAACGTGTACTGCGTACCTTTATTTATCCTTCCACAAAATACTGTAACATTGACTTTAAAAATAACCCTATATTGCGAATTTTTTTGTAAACCTTTCCATTGCTAAAAAATTAAAAAAAAATTGAATATCGTGGCAATGTAGCATCGGAATTAAAAAAAAAAAACGGTATTTGTAAAGCCTAAGAAGAGGTCAATCAAAATATGTAAAAATATATAGGGTGTTTCGTTAAAAAGTTCCTTAAAAACGAACTCTCTGTATTGTTAAAAATTATGTTAATGTGTAGTCCTTAAAGAATCGTACGGGTCTTTTTTTCTTTGGTAACACTAGGCAACATAATTTTTGTAACATTAATAAATGTAAGCGGTATAATCCATATATTGCATTTTATTTATGATTATGATTAAGAAGCCCCGTCACACTTTAAATTTTATTAATCTTCTCCAGTAACAGTTTGATGAAGGTACGTCAAAATTGGACATAATAAATGGGTTTTATTTAAATTGTATATACCGTCGTTTCCAAAAAATTTGTGGCAAATGACGTTGACATGAAAATCATATTCCCATTGCTTTTCATTGATCTATAAGAACCTGATTTGCCCATCTTGCTCAAAATTTTTTGGAAACGATTGTAATAGCATACTCCAATACGTGTAGTTTATGATTCCGTATAGAGTTTTTTTTTAAATCAAAATTCTGTAACAACATTTTGCAATTCATTTTTTTTTATTTTATTGATTAAATCAGGAACGGCTCACTAGTACAAGACTGTTATTATTAGTATTATTCTGAAGCTATACAAATTGATATAAGTGTGCTTGCAAAAATGTTGATGACGTATCACAAAATTTTGTAAAAAAAACTCATTTGAAACATACGCAAAGTACGCTCCTTTACATTTACTTTAACATTACATTACATTACATGTCTCTATATTAACTTATAGGGTTTCTCATAAAAAAATAAAACTCGCAAATCAAATTCTCAATTGAAATTTTATTTGAGACAAACCATATGTCTATTGTTATAACATCCATGTGGCAGAAACATAACCTTACATTTTAAAACAAACCATTTATGTCACATGTGTAACCACTCTGTGATTGTTTAATTGAACAGCCGTTATGAAAAACTGTCAATCGTTTTCAAAATGTATCAAAATAAATCTTCCCCAAGTGACTTTACGGCGGTTAGACACTTTTTATTGTGAAATTAATAAAACCTGTCAACACATGTACACTACATTGTACAGTGTGTATAAAATTTACAACAAATTAATCAAAATATTTTATAATCCAAATATTTTATCAGTATTTTTAACAATTCTATTAAACGTTACTGAAAGAGCAGAGTTTTTAAAAAAATATTTGCAGTAATCCTTCGCCTTAATTCGTTTACTTTGTAAATAGAGTATCGTAAATTGAGTTTATCTGATGTGGTCATAGGAAAAGACCTTAGTTTTCAGCTTATTTCTTTTTCGACTGATGATCCGATTTGTAAAAAACAGAGCAATTTTGGTTCTAGCTGTATATGCTGTGGCACCATCTTGTTGAAAATACCCCACCGAAAATGTCTGGTTGATATCGTCGAACTTTCTCTGCTTCTCGATAAACATGGAAAATCATATTCTTGTAATTCCTGGATACATGTCAATCTATACAGATACAGGTCTAAATCAATCTGAGTATTGGGTGACAAGAGCGTCAAATGTCTAATAAATGTTCAAAGAGAATTCTCGATGTTTTTTGGAGTTCTTTTGGATTTTGATTTGCCACTTGATTTTCTTTTTTCTAAACTTTCCATTTCTAGAAGCTGAGTTACGCAACGTTTCAGAATACTGGAGCACTGTGCATAGTCCACAAGAACATTGGGAAATTGTTGATGGAATTCATCTCAAGTTTCGTGAACACAAAACTGACAAACATCTTCCACTTTCTGACCATTGTAAAAATAACGCTTCAACTTTCAACGAAAATGCCATTTTTCAACAATAACGTAACGAAAGCTCTTAATAGAACTGATTTTTAATTTTAAAATTCGATCACAGGCGACAAAGGAAAACCAAATCAAAGCGGAAAAGCAAATGTGGGTGTAGGCTGAATTATGGCGTTGGCCGTATCAACATTTTTTAAGTGTCATTATTCATTGATAAAGGTGAATTGAAACAAAAATTAAACATCAAGGCTGTAGTAAACTTTTTACGTGGAAGCATTAATAAATTTAAAAAATTGTACAATAATTATTTAATTTATTTAAATTTATTTCCGCAATGTTCTATTCATAAAAAGTGGCGTTGGGCACCGCAATTATCCATATCATTCAGGGTAAGAACGTCCGTCTATACTGTGATTGATTACAATCAATACTGATCGTCCGATGCATATCTCCTATAGGTATTTTATAGCCTAATCTAGGCCTTTAGTTTGCTGGATATCCATAAACGTTATTATTATTGTCCAAAATAGACATTCTAAATATTCATATACTTACATCATAGTTATACTCTTCATCTCGTAAAAGTAAACAATTGGTAATTTTTTTACCTTCAACCTATAAGTAACGCAAAATTTTGCTTAGTGTTTT